TTGTACGCTTCTTTCCTGATGTGTAAAGCATTTCTGCGACCTGTTGGAAAATGCTGAAATCTTTGACGGTTATGTCAACAAGCCTCTTTAAAGTGTTGCATATTACCTCCCAGTTAGCATCCGTGCGCATGAGCCGCGAAAGACTGTATTGTACTGTTGTTCCATCCTTGTCATTTTGAAAGGCTGCACATTCATACTGCCAATGAAGTTCGAGGAAGAAAATGTGAATTACAAGAATAGTAAGAATCAGATGGGGAAAGAAACAAGTTGTAAAAACTTAGTAACAACTGATAGCGCACATGGTGAGGTGGAGGGTATGGGAGGAACAATCATGATGACAGTGTTCGCCTTTCACTATTGGGACCAAAATTCGGAGCCTGTCATCCAATGTAACTTCAATTTTTAATGATTTTCCGTATTCATTTTGCTTTGATGGTTTATTTTTTCCGCGTTATCCGGTCTTCTTCCCTTCAAAAAACCATCACTCCAAATTCCAAATCGACCTATAATCAGTGGAAGAAGACCCACTCTTTTCTCCTTATTTTTCTATTCTCGTGGCTATAAAAAGGCAATGACTTGAAAGTCCCGTCACAGAGGAATGTGGCACCTCAAGTGAAAACAGGTTCCTCTACGTCTTGGGTCGAGACGTAGTGACCTATTGAATGGCATGTACACAGGGGCTTGTTGTTGGATTTAAGGTTTGTGCTAATCCAGGATTAAAACTTGAACAAAGTTCTGACTTGTCATCACTGACAGAGTATGTTAGGCCTAAATAACGAGAGTTTTAATTATAGTGTTAGGCACAACTGAAAACTGAAACAAAACGTAAAGAAAAAATATATCTGCAAACCAACAAATTTTAAAGATCGGTTTTGAAACATGTCGACCCAGGACTCCAGATTTTAAGGTCTGGGTTCCAGTCTTGATCAGTTCGTGGTGTTATGATCATGGGGGTGAACACTTTAGTCAAACAGTGCCTCTCACCTCCCTGGAAAGGAAATCACTACATGCTGACGTTAGGCCATGATTGAATAGCATTCATGCTAGAGAAACTAGAGGTCCAGCTTAAACAGGCGCGGAACTTTATAATTTGCAAAGATTCTGCATCTAAAAGTCGTCATTAATAACAAACTACTTTGGAATATTACTTTTTGGAGATCTTCTCATTCGGGAGTTACAAAAGATCAAGATCTATCGTACTAACCTGCCTTTCGCAGACAAGAGAAGTATGCCAAACTACAAAGTATGTGCAGTCATTTTCAGATACGAAAACAGGCTTCCCCAAGTCTTGGCTGCCATGACTTGGACTACACACGAACTGAATAATCGTCTCGCGATTTTTCTTCACATGATGGCATGGATCTCCCCCGCTCAAGTTTAAATATAGTATCCCATCATCAAAGTGGAGGCGACTGTTGGAGATTCCTGCATTGTATGTCTGTTGCCCTACTTGACAAACGCCAGATTTTGCTCCGCAACCTGCAATAAGCAAATAAACGAAAATTGTCTGCAACACACCTCAAAATAATCAAGAGTATGTCTCGACTGCAGTTGTCTTAAGTTCAAATTCTATTTTCGGCTTTTTCCCATAATTATCCATTACCGTTAAAAAAAAAAAACCAACAGAAAATTAAATTTTGACCTCAGGGAAATTGACCAACAACACGTGAAATTCAACTACGTGACGTAGCCACTGTGTTGTTCTTCGCAGCCCTTGTTCAGTCATGTCACGCCATGCATTCGAACGGTTAAACAAACAACCAATGAGAAAGAAGATGTTCCTAATCTGATATCACACGTAACCAAGCACCAGAAGATTATAGTATATCATGGTATTCAGAGACGTTTAAGCGCCATAAAGAATCGGATTTTCTCTTTGCAAAATCATGTATTCGTTGTAGTTCAACTAAGTTTGTCTATGTAACATTTTACTCCAATTTGAATTTCATTTTCTAAAAGAAGAATTATACATGACATGTACTTCACCATGTCGGAAATTCTTTGGTATGCTTTAAAAGCTCGTTGCAAATAACCTCTCGAAGTAAAGGATCCAAAAGAATTGTTCAGGCAAAGTTGGCGACATCTCGGTTGGTACGTTGTTCTGTCTGACCAATGATTACTTCATGACGGGGCATTCGACACACGGAACATGTACGAGAGCTGAACAGCGCTATAACAAAGCTACAATGTTCCTACACATACAATACCTTTCGGAGGTTTCACTAAAGGTCCACAAACATTCATCTTGTACTTGTAATCACGCTTGTCTGCCATTTCGTAGTCACTAACTTTGTTCCTTAGTCGGTTCAGATCGAACAAGACCTTAGTATAGGGGTTGACTGCAGTACAGTTGTCATATGTAATCTCTTTTTTATCATTCACCGGGCATGCTTCACTTGTGGTCCACAGGAAATTATACTCACAAGTTTGTGCGTTATAGTTTATGAACACCGGCAAACCTCCCTTAAAATAAAAGGAAAATAAAAGCAACTAAGTGAATCTACCACTGCAACAGCCGAGACCTTTGCCATTCTTAAAATGTAAGCATGATATCACAGAGATGAAAATAACTGTTGGTCATCGGACAACATCCACAAAATCTTTACTGTTCGGACAAACGTTTTAACCAGATAATAAGAAAATGGAGACTTTGTTGGATAGAAAGGCGATTTACGGGTAACCTTGACTCTAAAAGGAAACCTTGGAAAATATCCAAAAAGATAATAATGATAGAGTGACATATAAATAGCCTAAAAGCCTCTGATATTTTTTTTTTCCTGACCAGTCCTTTACAGAGAAAAAATTATCAGCATCCCTTCCCCTTCCAACATAGCAGTTTCAGGGACGAGTGAAGTTTGCCACACTGAGCTCATGGTCAAACCACCTCAATAATGATAGTTGATGAAGAGTTCACCGCTCTGCTTATGTACAGCAACCCGTCTAGGCCTTAGTACCGCTGACCGGCTCAGAAAGGAGCCGGCCATGTTGCTTTGTTTTTACGAACGTTCTCTAGACGTCGTGGAACATGACAGAGCTGAATAACGAAATGCTACGTCACAGGTATGAGGTCAATAACGCGGGCTCAAACGCACGAGGTTTAAAATTCGGCGAAATTTGCGGGGAAAAAAGGGCTGGGATTTAAAAACCGGGGCATTTTGTTATCGTTGAAGGCATTTTCCTATTTCCAGTGTTTTAAAGAAAAAATATTATTTTTTTAAAATTATTAAAGAGGTGTACAAAGTTTTTGGAGGTTGTTCTGTAAAAGAAAAGCGGCAACGGAAACAACACCTCAAAGCAATAGAGTGGAAATCAACCATGTAAGCGACTCGAGAGCCCGTTTTCCGCGCCAAAGTCTACTGCATGCGCAGACAATATTCTGCTCCGTCGTGGAACATTATTTGCGTATATTTTTAGGTAAGTACGCTTATTACTGTCGCAGCCAGCTATCAGGTCATTGTTTAGGCGTCGCCATGCCAGCTAATTTAGTCCGTTAGAGCTAACGTAACTGTGTCTGTGTACTGTTTGCAGGACTCCTTCATCGCTTTAGATCATTAAACAAACCAAAACGAGGAAGGTGTTTCTTCAGTTGAAGCTCAGAAAGTTAACTTGATAAACGCGCAAATTTCGCACATACAGAAAACACAGGGAATGTACAAAGAATGAAAAGTTTCATGTTAATACCTCTCTTTCTCCACAGATCATTAGTATGTGTGTAGAATATTTTTTCCCGTTTCCGCAGTTGCCACCTTCCTCATAATCTAAGTAAATATTAGCTTCTCTCTTCCTAGGTCCGTGCCTTATGGTTCCAAGGTTATAGTATGTTCCACTAAAAGGAAACAAAAGGATTCAATTCTTAAAATCAAATGTAAGCGACTTAGCTGAGTGGTTTAGAGTGTTTAATGTGAACCTGGAGGACGCGGGTTGTTTTCTGTAACCCATCTCTTCTAACTTTAGAACCTACTGTTTAATATGTGTGTGTGCCAAACTGAGATTATAAAATTGGAAATCAAATTTGACCAAAAATCTTGAGAATCTCCCCCAATTCCGTCCCCCCAATTCTATTCAAGACCTGAAGATCAACAGAAAAAGGTGAATTGCTTTAGATTACTTGAGTTCTATAGAGAGAACAATACCTTGGCCTCATTAGACCCAAATGGTAGAGTCTTTACCCTAATTCGGACCAAAAGGGATGGAAGGCGATTTCTTCGATGCCACATCAATGTGTCTTACATGAGGGAATTCCCTCACAAAGGAGCACGGCAATTAAGCGAACGAGTGTATCAAAACAAACTTGACGATGTGAAAAGTTGGCACCAAGCAAAATATTCAATACCTTAACCCTTTGACTCCTTAGGGTGACCAGTATCTAGTTTCTCCTGACACTATCCCCCATAAAACACCCATTAGGGCCAAGAGAATCAAGGAAATCATCAACAACTAAAAGAACCTTGATTGTTAAACAAATTCTCCTTGTCAGCACCTTGGCAAATGTATGAAAAACATTATGGAGAATATGCATACTAATGTTAGGGTGTAAAGGGTTAATATCAAGATGTCTGAGCATACGTACCCTTTGACCATACAAACACCTGAGGTCGGGGGGCAATGTGCGGCAGCACCTTTCAATAACACTGTACGACAGACATTTATGAAAAAAGAAACACCATCCAAATTTGGACCCGTGACTTTTGCCCTCCAGTTTCCATCACTCTTGGACAGCGAGGAGAAGTCATACTGATTGTCAGTATCTTTCTCTTCATCTCGAATACTACACTGCAAACTGATCATCGGCCTACAAACAAATGGTGTCTGCCAATGACAGTCATATGTGTTGCTCTTTTTTTCGCAGGTCGGGCCTGTATCAAGCCCTAACGCTTGTTGGTTACATTCAAAGGTGATGTTTATAGCTGGGTTTTCTCCGTATGTTGTTTGTATTTGACCATTGTAGTAAGTGAGATTCTTGTTCAATACAACTTTTTCAACTTTCTTTGTTCCTGTTTTAAGACATTCCAAAACATAGTCAATCAATATTTCAACACTTTCACCAAGACAGCTGTGAAATAAATATAGGAGCATTTTAACATGTACATCCTAAAATTAATAATTATCAGCCACAATTGAGTGACAACAGAAAGCACCAATTACGCGACAGTACTGTGCTATGGACGGAGATCGAAGGAATAAAAAAACTGCAATAAACGATCCAAACTTTGCTTTGTGTACGTCCTTCAGGCTTCAGAGAGAAACATATTTTTGCTAGTCGTAAAGGACTCTCAATAGCTTCGTTTGGGAAGTTTTTGTCTTTCGCGCGCCCTTGTGCGACCGACATGACCCTAAGATAATGCCGTTTTTGTCCGATCCAACTACCGAAAAATTGGGTAAGAATTTTTTTCCTGATTTTGGACAAGTCCATAAAAATAAGTACCGGTTACGGAAAGTTAAAATATCAGTTTGCTTAGTTATGTGTGTTTGATTTTGTTACGCGAAGTGCGGCCACTAATTTCAATGCGAGTCCGCTTCTTACCCTATAGAAGTTGTTGACATGCTTTTCGAACAAGTAAAACAAAAATACTGCAGTTGTCCGTAGGAACAAGTGCGAAAAATTCATGCCCTGTATAGCTAATATGTAGATTTAGCCAAGCCTAAAAGCGGAGCTCGCATTTTTTTTTCCGCACGTCTCAACACCTTGCCCCGGCCAGGACTAGAACCCGAGTCGTCCGACTCGGAGCCCAGTGCACTGACCACTGGACAAAGCCGTGGCGTTGGTGTGCCCGCGGTACAGTTGACCACGCATATTAAAAGTAGCACTTTGTACGGTCGTACGGTCGTACATCCAAATTTTTTCAGCTTGATGGGTTACTACTATTTTGCATAATTATGGGGCTACGCAAGCTCCGCTATAATAATCAGTAGAGTATACATGTACAATTCTGTCTCACCAATAATGCACGCTCCAACTGTCTCTCCGTGGCATTCCTTTGGGCCTCCCACCAACTTATTGCAGACATTTAAAATAATCCTTTCACCAGGGGCTCCACCTCTGACACTAACATTGTAGTCTTTTGTTTTGTTATAGAGCACAGATAAATCAAACATGTAGCCATACTGTTTGTCCTCTACTTTGCAGTCATAACCAACCTCTTTTGTCAATGGACAAGCACTGGGTGTTTCCCAAGAAAATAGGTACTCACACTCTGGAGATTCAGCCATGAAGATAGGAGAGCCCTAAAATGAATAAAAATTAAACTGGCTTTACTTTAACAGGATGGTAATCAATGGAACTACGAAAAGGGCACTAACAGTTTCTTTGTGTATAGCAATTTTGTTACGCCTTTCCTTTAGAACATGAATGAAAAGCTGTCATAGAACGTTTTCCACTAATTTTGTAACAGAAGATTTATTGTATAATTATGAAAATTTAACGATAAATTTTGCAATAGCTAATGACTCAACTCTCACTGTTTTCATGTCCATAACCTTACCGTTCGCTTTGAGCACGAAAAAACAATTCTTAGACTCCTGCTGAACTGATTCTTGTGACAAGGAGTTCCACCAGAATATTGTAAGGACAGCTCTCCTTTGCTTGTGATCTGTGGATTGCTTTGGACATATCCCAAGTTGAATCCTTTCTTCTGACTGTGATCGATCTGACAACCGCCTATAGGTCCACCTGGACATTTCAGGGCTTCTCCAGATGGATTCACAGCACGACAAACATTGATGAAGTAGTGAAGGTGTTTGTTCTCTTCTCGGGTATCAACTGCTTCCCAGTTTCCTTCAAATGATATATCAATTGGGGATCAATATCAGTATCTGGGCAAATGCCCACCTACCCCTCCCCTAACCCAACATTAACCTCAAATTGTTGTCAATTGACTGTTGTTGAGTTAGGGGAGGGGTAGGTGGGCAGTTGCCCAGTTACTGATATTGATCCTCAATTGGTTTCTTGTCATCAATTCACATAAATTTATGAAATAGTAACTCACCATTTAAAAAATATCTAAAAAGATTTGATGC